AATTGAAATTTTAGTTATAATATCGGTTTAAATCTATCTTGTCCGTGTTTTACATCGTCTAGTTTATTTTTTCTTGTTTTGTTCTAATATTTCTGCTTGTAACCATCAATAGTTGTCATTCTATGATTCCTATTGTGTTGTCTTCTAGGATTAGGCATGCACCAATTCCAATTCTGAGAATTGATTAAGTTTTGAAATAAGAACTTGCTGTGTAATTAAATAATCTTCACTGAGTTTAGCTATTCAATACTTGAACTATTTTTGCTGACTTTTATAAAATAACACTGAATCTTCAATGAAACATACTACTACAAAAATGAATTTCACAGCGACAAAATATCCAAATGAATGTTATAGATAATATTAATCTTGCAGTTTTAAAATTTCACTGAGCTTTTGCTGCACTTTATTTAATAGCAGATAAAAACGTTGAATAAAAACGGTACTTTCCACTCATTTTCTCAGTATGGTAGAGCATGAGTCAATTTCATTTCGATTCCAATTCTAGTTAATTCCATCAGTTGTAATCTAAGCATTGAAATTGATGCATAACTATGAAAATTAAAGTTAATTCTATGTAAAAAAAATTCGGAATACCTCCCATTTTAATCAGTTATTTCCTATTTGAAAATCGATTACAATGACATGATTTGTTTATTAGAATCGATTGAAATCAAATTCTTCTGAAAACTATACTCAGATGATCATCGCTTAGACTTGATTATAGCCGGTTGAAAATATGCTTCGATTGAGAAATTTAATTTCAATAGCTTTCTATTCAAGTTTTTATACAGAATAATCGGGTTTACGATTGGGATTCGATTTCTAGAATTTTTCAATTTTAATCACTGAAATTTTACTCTCACAGTGATCGATCTGTTTCTTGATTGATTCATCTCTCATTCTCAGATTGTTTTTGGAAATAGTTTTTAATTATTTTATTTAAACTAGTTATCTTTTGAAGGCTATGATTAATTCAGTTACCGAATAAATGATATTTTGAGTTTATGAAGAGTTGACAGATAATTAAATGAGTGATTGCGATATTAAGGCATCTGTGAAGTTCTAAAGTACAAGCTCATCACATGATTGATTTCGTAGAAAAATTTTATCGAACTGTTCTTGATACTTTTTCATATTCGGATCATCGAGTGGCATAAATGCTTGACGTCCAATATCGACAGCTTTCTGTGCATGTTGAAAAGCATCATTAATTTTGTTCAAACGTTCCAAAATAATCGACTTATGAAAATGAGTTTCGGCTAGCTGTGGATGATTTGGTTTTAACACTTTTTCTTGAATCTCAAGTGCTTTGTCGAGACAATCCAGTGCATCCGAATGATCGTTCATTGTAGCATAAAGCAAACCGATGTGATTATACGTTATTGCCAAGCGAGGATGAGTAGGAGGTAAATGTTGGCGTAATATGCCCAGTGCATGCTGATGGCTAGTCCATGCTTCTGACAATTTTCCTTGCTGTTTTTTTACCCAACCAACATAATTGTAACGATCCACAATGAGTTGATAATCAAGCGGACTTAACTGTTTTACGGAGTAATCAAGATATAGTGTGACCATCTTGTTTATTAGTTCGACCATAGCTGAGTGAAATTTATCTTCATTAATTTGTTCGCTACTAAGTACATTTCTGATTGTCGAAAAGACATTGATCAAGTCGCTCCTAGCTTCATCAGCAACAATATTTCCATCAAGTATTGCTATACTGAACATCTTATGTAAATGTGTTCTTGCTCGTTTCCAATCATTCTTGTATAATGAGAACAATTCGGCCAATTGATAATGTGTCATGTGTGCAGACTTCAAATTATTTTCGTGCGTGGCCTTGTCAAGAATCATTTCATATATTGTAATTGCTTTGTCATATTCACCCATATACACAAGTAGTTTACTTAATCGCCATGTAGGATCCATATTAATTTGCAGTTCTGAATCAAGGGAAGAGCTGAGATCTATACGCATATGTTCTGTCAATTGACGAAGTTGTTCATCATCGGAATTAGTTAATGTTAAATGAATCTTCCAAAATCGTGGCTTGTTACCATCATCCAATGGTTTTATTTCACCAATACGAAATACGGTATGCATCGAAAAGAGTATTTCTTTTTCTTGCTCTTGAAAATAGCTGTGTTTATCAAGTGATGCAAATGGTACCGATGCTATCGACGGATCGATATTCATTTCGAATAGAACAGCCATTTTTTCCGGATTCTGTAGAGCTTTTTGAGAAAAATTTAGTGAAACCTCTTTCGATGTACTTGTCGATAAAAAATTGTTAAACGAAATGAGACCACCTTGATTTTGCTTCATTCGATCTAACGCCGCAGGTAGTATCCTATTTCGATTAAAAATGAATAAGAAATCTATCCATTTTTGACACAACGTGCCGGGAATAGATGATGAAAATTAAAAACCCAAACTATCTTCCTCATAATATCTTTTCATAGACTCGAAACTCTTAGAGAATGAACAAAAGAATATCTGTAGTCAATTTTCAACGGTTATTCGAACTCATCTTTTGTTTTTTAAGGTCTACTTGGATTTGTTCTCATTTACAGTTATCATATTAAAAGTTTGTTCTTTTTCTAAAAGTATCAATTTTTGTCGAAGAAATGTATTGTTTGTACGATCAACAAATGCCAGATAACGATAGAGAAGTTGCTATACGATCACTTACCCTTGACCTCGATAAACAGTCAATATCTCACCGTTGTTCATTGTTTTATGAAGATGTTCAAGTTGTTGATGAAGATCATAAATAAAGAAGTTCATCTTGATCAAAATCTCCATATCTTGCTTACATAAAGCTCGATTTAGCATTGAATAAATAAAACACTCACGTGTATACCACCAAATCGGAGATGGATTGCTATAATTTTGTTTGAATTCTTCGATTACACACAATTCTGCATCATTCTGAGCATAGGAGAATCGACAAAAACTAATAAAATCTTCTTTCGCTTGTTCACGAGTCGTATTATCATATTCTATACTGAGTATAATGTCTTTGAGTAATTGTGAGTACATGAATGATGCATCAAGGTGATTAGAAATTTTTAGTGTTTGTGAACCGAGCGTCTGAATAGGAGTCAACTCCTGTTGACATTGTTTTATATCTTCCTTGAGTTGATTACAAACATCTTGAATATCTGTGAAGATGCCTTTGATTTTACGATGTTGCTCCTTCGTAGCCCATTGTTCGTGTTCAGGTTTTTTAAAACAAAACACATAAATTGAATCAACTTTAATATCATGTTCAATGTTAGGTACTAGCTGTCGTCCCAGCGAGCCCGAAACAATCAAAAAGATCTTTTCTTCTTTCACTTTATTATGAATAAAATCGATACATGCCTCACACGTATTAAATTTTTCTATTGAATTGACAATATGGCGGAGTGCTGTGATCGATGTTTGAATATCATTATCCGTCCTATTTTTGCGACGAAGCTTCGAGTCCACCCAAATAATGATAAAATTTTCAATGAAATGAGTTTCTTGTCGTTGATGAGCCATGACTTCTTCATATACGTCGGTCATTGCTTTCTTTGTCAAAAGATAGTTATTCTAACATAATTTCTATCAAATGATCGATCAAAAAAACAAGAAATTATGGCCCATTTCACCAAGGCCATCATAGTCAACGAAGTATGGTAGTTAATGTGAAATAACACATTATAGGCATTTTTAATGTAGAAGACATTAACAAAAAAACCTTTTCAAAACACATATGAGATACTTTACAACCTTGATAAATGATATATAAATTTAATATTCATCGTGATCAATAGAAGGTAAACAGATACTGCTTTTCAGAGAAGAATAGAAACTACTGAATATTTAGTTACTCAATTGAAGGGAGAGTTATTTACAATAAAATGAATTTACTTGCTTACACATTTAGAGTCACGTGTACACATATATTTGTGTGACGATTGATTATGAGGTGTTATCAAAGGTAATCAAAGTCGGGAAATTCGACTCTGTAATCGGTTTTTCGAAATTTTGAGTTTGATTTTTTCCACTAAGGACGAGGTTTTTGTAGTCACTCACCTTCCCCTCATGACATGATGTATCGTCACCTATATTATCATCTTTTTATTTCTAATTTTTGTGTGTTTCTCACTGTTTTCTCGTTCTCTTGTTTTATCATTTCTTCACATTCATTGTTCTGATATGCTGCTGGTATTTATTTTAATTAGTGTTAGAAAAAAATATAGAGCGGTGAGTTGTAGTTGTATGCTTGTGAGTCTCTAAGTTGTGATGCCATATATTGATCTGAGTGTTATAGTTATACAGCATACATCCATATATTGTATTTATTTGCTTGTCTCTGTTTACAATACAAATTATTGAGACAATAGTTATTAACTTTATTGATATTGCTTATCTGGCACCGACTTTACCGGACATCAATGCATCTCAAGTGGCGCAGTTCTGATTTGGGTCTTGCCATTAAAAAAATATTACTATTTAGCCGAATATATAATTATCTTTAACCAGAGAACGATAACTAAATATCGTATTAATTCATCAATCAATATACCACTGTCAATATTATATAGTAAAATATTTTTTTTTGTTTTAGATTGTGTCTTAGAAAATTTGGTTAATGTAAACGAAAAGGAGAAAGAAAAGAAGAAAATATCCAATGTCACAAATACTGGATCATTTTTAGTGCTAAACCGCGGTTCATCAGTAACTTTACTGTCTGCTGCATCTTATCATAAGCCAGCCCTTAACTTTTCCTAAGTGTCTCCATTAAAAATACAGTTAAAAATGATTCAGGTATTGCAACATATTTTGCCACGGCGAAGACTATCCATTACAAATCCAAAGTGTCGCGTGAGTGTGAATGTAAGTGTCGTTGAAGAGAAGATGTATACCCATACCAAACTCACTCACCTCCACACCCATTATAATTGAAGATTTTCTTTGCATTTCTTGAGATGACAATTTACCGAACATAGTTGGATTTCAACGCTAAGGTTTTGTCATCGCTAGTTAATTATATCAAAGCAGGTGGTGAAGTAAAGATGTAGAATATATTTTCTCACAAAAAATACTCTTATTCAAGTAGCTTTATTCAAGAGTATCTTATGTTATCAATCACTTGTGTGTTCATCAACATACAGTATGCAGAAAATATTATGCGTTGCATTGAACTCACCAAAATATCTGCGTTCCATCAAGATTTTATAACATAACAGCTGTAATATAAAATCAAGTTATAATCATTTAGCTTCTTTCAAAATATAATCTCGGTTTCAAAACTCCTCTTATCGCCACCATCAAACAATACGTATACATATATATATATATATGTCCGAAAAACTAATTGTAGTCCATATTTCAAATGACTCGTTGCTATAAAAAGAAATAAAAATGAATTACATATTTTGAAAGTCCTCGACGTTTTCTATTACCTTCTGTAATTATGTTTCAGTTTGCACTCATGCACTACCGAAATATATTAAATATAATGAAGACATATTCATTATCAGATTTTCACGGACTTTATTAGTGTTACTATCTTCTGAAATTGTTGAAATTTTTCAACACTATAGAATTAACCTTGTTTTGAAAAAGTAAATATATACGCGACTAGAGCTTGTAATTCTCTGTTACTCTATGCATTTACCTATTGTCTTGCATTTATTCGTTGAAGTATAACTCGAGTATTACAAAGGTACCTACCTTTCTTAACAAACTCTAAAAGAATCGATTTTTCAACTTGCTCTTTCGTTTTTTGTACCTGGAATTCCCAATTTTATTTTTCATACTGATCGTAAAATTAAAATTAAAATAATGCTGGACAATCTAATTTCTTAAGAAGGAGGCCAAAGTGACACCCAAACTATTTTTTACATAAAAAATTCAAGATATCAGATAAAATACGTTTGCTGATAGGGTGCAGTTACATCTGCTTTGCACCCACTCACATCCAAGGTTTTTAAATTTTAAATTTTATAGCTTTCTGCCATGCACAATCAGGATTTCAAAAATCGTGATATAGTGACTTCATATTGTTTTGAAACTGAAAACAAGGGTGTAGGTGTGGATGAGTTTCGTCTTCATTCAATTAACAATCATACCCACACCCATAAGCCAGAACATACAAACCGACGAGAAAAAGCAATGAATTCATTGATCGTTTTTGATTCGAGAGTATACTGAAATTTTACGACATTTTTTAAAGAGAACTCCGTGATTTCTCTCAGAAACACAAGAAAAACTGATTGTTATATTTCAACTTAAAACTTTGTATAGACATAGTCGTAACTCGAATAATTCATTGTGAAAGTCTCAGATCTTGTGATTTGCTAATATTCTAAAGTACGAATATGGTGAAAGCGTATCTTTTACATCACCCATACTCACTGGCAGATTCGATGCTCGTACTGACGATAAGAGCAAGGGTGTGGGTTGATATTAGAGTGCAAGTGCTATGCTGACAAACTTCATGAAAAGTCACTTCCAGGTGAAAAATGTCACCATAGGATTGTGCAATATGCATACAAGAGCATTTGAGAGTATCAGAATACTGAGTAGGAAGTTGTATGAATTGGTATTTAGACGGTCGATGTATTGTTACATTGATAGTACGTGGCAAAAAAGTGGCAGAGGTAGTTAGATAGATCATAAGCAAAGCCAATATGCAAAGATAGACGCGTGTCAATAGTGACTGATGATGGATCGTCTCTGCATCATCGGTTTCCGATTCCAATAAACTCAGCTTCTTCATATAATGAAAAAAATGTATTGGGCAACTTTTTTGTGATCTCTCTGTTGACATTGCTTTTTCCATATTTCTAACGCAGAAATGATAAGTCAAACATAGAAAATAAACTGTATATATAGTATCATTAAAGTTTTTTTGTGTATCCGTGGTTACGGTATGAAGAAGGAAAGGAGTGTAATCAATTGAAGTACTACTAATAAATATGGCAGCACGGTGAATATAATGGAAAACCATATATTCATAAAATGTAGAAAAAGAACAAGAAAAAGCTTGTAACCTTGAAATCACTCAAGCAGTAAACACTTGCAAAAAACTTTGCTGATTCTTCGACGAGGGCTGCGATAATCAAATTTGCATGTTCACCAAAACATACAGAAATAAACAAGTGTTTACTAATTGTATGGAAAGATGCCCGAAAAAAAATAACCTTTTCAAGGGTTTTTTTTGTTGTTTTCAGAGATAAGTGGGCGCTTTTATTGCACTTTGCTGTTGATCATACATACACGATTCCTTCTTAAACATTTTAATGCTCACATCTAAAAGTTGGCCCGCTCGAGCAGTAGAGTTGTTACGCTTAAAAAAGTCTCTAATTAAAATTATTAGCCTACCGTCTTATTTTGTCGTTTCTATTCTTCCTATACTCATATCTTTCGTTAAAAGATAGTTGATGTTATGCACAGATTCGCTGAACGATCACACAACTCAAAAAATCAAAGTCCAAATAAAAAAGGGGTTCCATATAAGTGACAACGGTGCAAAGTTTTTTTAAAGAGTCAATTTCAATATCGAATGTCTACTGGCTCCATAGTTTTTCCATAACATTTCAATTTTTGAAAAAATATCGTTATGCAATTTTATTGCTGAACGAATTTTGTTTTTAATTTTAAATGTTATTAAAACTGTTATCCATGCACTTATGTGAAAGAAGTCGCGATAGTATATGCTGCCCACTAACGATAACCACATGTTTCAGACGGGTGTGGGTGTGGGTGGATGTGGATGCAAGAAAGATTCACATCCACACCCACATCCATCTCGTATTAATCTGTACTATTCAATACAGACACTTACCACACTGGATATAACAAGCAACAATATTCTTGCTGCTGGAGCACATCATCTAGCTAATGCATTACAGCAGAATACAGTAAGATTAATTATTCATCCATCTGATATGCATCTGTATCATTCGATACAGACACTTACCACGCTGAAGATTTCATGGAACGATATCGGTGCTGTTGAAGCACAACATCTAGCTAATGCATTGCAACAAAATAGAGTAAGATTAGTTCTCTATTCATCTGTTTCGTACGCATCTGTACCATTCTATACAGGTACTTACCACGCTGGATCTTCGTGTGAACGAAATTGGCAGCGAAGGAGCACGATATATAGCTAGTGCATTAGAACAGAATACAATAAGATTAGTTTTCTATTCATCCATCTCATATGCATTCGTATCATTCTATACAGACACTTATTACGCTGAATCGTGCACGAACCGATATTGATGGTGCTGGGGGAGATTATCTAGTTAATGCATTGAAACGGCATACAGTAAGATTAGTTCTATATTTTTCTCTCTTTATAGGCTTATACATCATCTATACAGACACTTTGCTCACTGGATCTTATTAACAATAGTGGAACTAAATTACGCTAAATTCTAATCGTAGGGTTGTGTGATAGTGTTTCTCATTTGTTTTTTAACATGATTAATCGTGGTTTGTGATTGGATACCATTCTAGAAAGTGAATGATATGTTTTGCGATACAAATGTTTCTATCTAATAAAGAAGAGAAGAATATATTACCTATAAGTTTGTCTTATATTGGTGTTTATGAGAAATTGTTTCAACTGCGTAGTTTGACATAGGTTTTCTTGAAAGTTTATTATTATATTGCAAGGTAATTGTGAGCATTGCGGAATAGAAATTTCTTCATAGAGTTGTATGATATTTTGAGATCAGAAGTAAATGATCTGTTGACTATCTTGAATCACAGGTATGTTTAAAAAGTTGTGTGTGGGTGTAAGTAGGTGTCACGAGTTAAAGAAGATCAAGATAAACACCCACACCCACACCCACAAAATATATGCTGTGTTTATGATGCTCTCTCATTCATGTAGATTGTAGGATTATTTTGTTAACCGTAATAAATAATAATGGGGTGATACTAGACAAGAAAAAATGGCCACTTTCTAGCGATTTATATTAAGTTTCATAGATAAAGAATCGACTGAAAACCTAGAAGGAGGTAAACTGTCTACATTACAAAATATTAGCTATTTATTTTCATTTTATCATTTGCTAACTTGTATGATATTGATTGGTTTCGATTGCCTATCTTCATTCTTGCTGTGCTATTTTTCAAATAATCAATTACAAAATATAAGCAAAATGAGTAGCAGAATTGGCTAAGCAAATCATCAAAATCTTGTGTTAGTTTAATTTTTATTATCAAGCTCAAATTATAGTTTACCATTGATATATTCTTTTTCTCTGTACGCGTAAAAAAACGATATGAATGGTCTTAATTCAATTTTTATTTATTAACGTCATTCAAATAACTATTAATTATTTTCTTGAAAGATTTGTTCTCTATTTCTATTCCGGAACGGCTTCAACACATCGAACTCTGCACGAACACATTGGACGACAACATTTGTGTGTTATTGGACAATCACCATCGTTTTTGCACAACGGAATTAATTCTTGTGGAAGACAAACACGACGACGACAACGAATAGGAATAGGGAAATGATGAGTTGGACATTTACCTGAAGAAAAAACAATAGAGATAGTCTTTTTATGTAGATACATGCGAACATACCATCGTGTACAGGTTCTTCACTGCGTTGTTTTGATCCAGCTTGGATCGAACAAGCAACCAAAAGTAAAAATAAAACAGCAATTGAAAGAATCGAAGTCATTGTGAAAATGATTGTAATATTTAGTAGCAGTATCGAGTTATATATAAAGTCTATTGATGGGAAAATAGTCACATGTTTGCACTATACTTTGCTCTTTGATATGTATCATGTAATATGCATTAAGCTACAATCTGTTAAAATATAGATTTATTTTTCGAAAAAAAACTGAGATGAATTATTGAAAATTTATTTAAATCAAGGTTCAAAAGTAATTATTTCTGTTTTCTTATGCGTTGTAAAACTTAAGAAAAAGATATTTGAAATCGAAATTATTGTTTATTTATTGAGATGTTTTTGTTATCATTGCTTTTTTCGTCATTATTATTATCAACTAAACCTGTTACTGTTTGTTGACTTATGCCCCATGTATCAACTTTATCAGCAATTAAGCTACTTAAGGTGTACCAAAATTTCTGATCATGGTGTTTAAAGTACCTCGTCGGATAAGGTCACCTATTTAGAAATGAGAAAGAAAATATA